CGTAATAATTGCAAGCATATCGACTGTTGACGAGCATACTGACTAGTCTAGAAAGAATGGTCCAAGATTGAAGACAGCTGGTCAAAAGCTTATGCTCTACTTGGCGTAACAGGTGTAAATGCCCAAATGGACTCTTCAAAGTAATTTATTAAAAAATATATTAATCCCAAAATGAAATACAATCAAATTTCATTAATTCACACTCTAATTTCAATATACAGAACACAGAACAAATCGTTTGTACTTTTTAAACATCACGATGAGCTGTTTTATATGGTTGGTTGTATTAAAAAATGACATAGAATTTACAGATTTATAGTTTGCTTTAACAGAAAAACATTTCATACTCTTTTATTTTTAATCTAGTAATGGTATAGTAAAAAGTATATAACTGAAGAAGGTACATTATGAACAAAATCAATTATTAATTTGTAGGACATCTTCTTAAAAATAAAAAAAAATCAATAAGTTACATATTTCCAAACGTCCAACTAACTGTAAGCCGCTATAATAAATGACCTACAAACATATTAATGTAGGAAGGAAGGATTAATGAAGTTATTCAAGATTATCAAAGAATGTAGTAGAGTTGAGCAAAATGTTTTTAATACAACAAGCAAAGCGATTAGTTTGATAAATCGAAGAAATCACGAGTCAGGTTACCCCATTGGGAGGAATCTGGAAGCAATGGGTTGGGTGATATGCTCGTCTCTAGGTATGCTGAAAACTATTACGAGTTCACCTTAGTCGGATAAAGAGAATGAAACAATGAACCAGCGTCCAGGTAGGCAGGCTACTGTGATCCCTTGACCGAAATGAATCAGTAAGAAGTCTTGATATAGTGTAGAAATTGTATTCTACAAACACCCAGCCAGCACACAATGAATCCTAGCGTCTATTTATACTCTATAGGAACGTCCTTGGGACAGTCACAAAAATAGCACACTAAAATAACACAGTAACCAATCACAGCCAAGGATTTTCCTGGTGGGAAATGTGATCTCAAGGTCAACTGATCGGTCCACGAAATAAATCCAAAATAAAGATATTTATCAAGCGAGTTCTGGGGATCTAACATTCACAACAGAGTGGAGTCTTCAGCAATGCGGATACGTGAACCAGTAAGCAGGACTCAAACTTAGGATTTTCAATGTGATGCGAGAACGCTTTACTTTTGGAATAATGAGTCAGCAGCATTCAACGGTCTCATGATCTAGCTTCGATCGATCCAATGATCATGCGCGATCATCATCGGTTGCCCGTTTCACACATGAAACTAACTGTGATCAACGCGTCATGGCTTCTAACTGGAACTTCGACAGTTCCTTCTAAGAACTGCACATTGATGAGCATATGATTGTTATTTCCATAGTTGAAACATATCTCAGATAGATCACGATCAGTCGCCTACAAGCCCTAGACGGACGTTTCGTTCCAGTAAGGAACAACTTCTCAGCAATACGTATCCACAAGGGACAGAGACAGATTAAATCCTAAAAACATAATCTACTTTCTGTTTCCATGGTCTTCTAGAATATTAACATATTTAAATTATAAAATAAGCGAACCAATGAACATTGTCAATTCTTCCGGATTACGGCTGCTGTTGAAGAGATGGCTGTTGGCAGTTGAAGAGATTTCACGAAATAAAATGTATTCATGTTATTCTGCTGAGATATTTGTTCTTATTTGATTCAAGTGTCTGGAACTCAAGAAACACTACCGACAGACACCTTAAGTCACAATTTTCAATACAAATGTTAAGACGTTTCTATTGCATGGGGCAGAAACTTGAAGAACCATGAAGGCTATCATTCTGAAAAATTCAAGTATTTATTAACAGTTATTTATGAGAGATATGGAGGATCGGTCGGCCAGACATCAATAGCAACGACCTACTGTGGTAACAAACAAACCGGATTCCAGCAGAGGAAGAAATTGGGAAAAAGAGCTGAGGAAAGCACCCAACTGCATTACAAAAGAACTCTTTACTTGGAATTGTCAAGGCCAAAGGAAAACAGGAAGATCAAAGAACACATTACGCCGCGAATTAGAGACAAATGTGAGAAGAATAAACAGCAATTGGTTGGGACTGGAAAAAAAGGTCCAGAATAGAGTAGGTTGGAGAATGCTGGTCGCCGGCCTATGTTTCACTGGGGGTAACAGACGTAGTGTTGAAGCCAGACTATCATCAACAGACACAATGATTTAAATGATGGTCACTAATATTTGTTGTTGTTCTTCTTCTTAGGTTGGTGCACGTAAGTATTAAGACGTCCTTGGAGCAGAGGGTTATCAAGTCTCTTGTCCTTGACACCAAGAAAATACAGTAAACGTTAAAAGCACAAATATTCGAAACATTTGACTCTACTTACAGTCTAGAATGCATTGTTCTCATCATTGAGCGATTACAACTTCAAGATATTAAGATGATCTGTTGAATGTGATCATACCATATTAGCACACAGAGATCGAATTGTCAATTCAACTCTCATAGTCGTAGAGATTGTATAAGTACTACTGGTAATGGAGGAGATAAGGGTTCGAACATATTATTCAAGAGGTATAATACAGGTGCAGAATTAGTAGATGTGCACTGCTGTTGAGTCCCATACCAGGACGAAACGGTCATCCAATGCTTCCAGGTTTCTAATGTTGGTCTAACAATGATTAACTGATGATATCAAGTGAGTAAAAACAATAATCTCCATAACTCTAATCGAAAAAAGAAATGAGCGCATCTGTGCTACTGCAAACGGAGTCTCGAACAATGGGTTACTATTGTCTTGAAAACCTCAACCTATTTTTAGAGAGAAACTATAATCAACCAAGCTGTTGATATCACGATAAAAAGACGGCTAAATAGTACACTGTAAGTAATAAAATCAACGGATATTTCAAGTTTCTCTCTCAAGGAGCTATGTTTTATGGTGTAGGAGTAGGTTGGAAGAAAGCTAGGGGCGACCAAACCAAAAAATGTCAGAAATCCATGAAGTCACTGACAAGTGGACTGAATCATGTTGGTTGATGTAGGTTGCCTGGTTGGGGTGCGCGAGACGATAGTCACCAATGGTTAGAGACCTTGAACAACATGTCTCGAAATAATTTGCAATGGCGTAAGTGCATCCATTCATTGTGCTCTCTCAAATCCTAATCTTCTGGAATCATCAGCTCCTCTACCTTTGTTTTTCTAACCTTATCTCACTGAATTATACTTCTTCAAATCCTAGTCTTCTTCATTACCATTAATACCTCTACTATCTTTATCACAATGGGACTTGAATTGACAATCGCGTCTCTGTGCTGATGCGGTATGGCAACATGAACTGATGTACTTACGTACGAAGTTCTACGTTGCAACTGACTGACTTATCATACTATACAGTACAAAATACATTTTTTTGTTCTACTGTTCAATCGATACGTGAGCTATTATAATATCAGTCATTTCTGATAAACAGTAGAAAATGTCTTAAAAGTCACAAAAACAGATTCCTATGTTATTCGGGTATAACCATCTATCTCCATCTTGTCTTTTTTGCTCTAAAAAAACCGGAATTTTTCGTGCATGATTAACACATTGTACATCGTACATTGTAAGTATTGCGACAATGGACACTGAACAACACACACACACACAACTTGATGAAAAAATATACATACATCAATAGTCAATCAGTCAGTTGCAACGTAGAACTACGTACGTATGTACATAAGTTCATGTTGCCATACCACCACATTAGCCCAGAGACGCAAATGTCAAATCAAATCCCAAATATTGTAGAGATAGTAATGGTCATGAAGAAGACTAGGGTTTGAAGATATTATTCAAGAAGTATAATTCAGTGAGATAAGTTGAGAAAGACAAAGGTAGAGATGCTGATGAATCCAGAAGATTAGGATTTGAGAGCCTACATCTACCGACATGACTCAGTCCACTTGTCAATGACTTCATGAATTTCTGCCATGTTTTGGTCTAGCCGCCCCTAGCTTTCTTCCAAACTAATACTCCTACACCACACGAAACATAGCTCGTTGAGGCAGTCAGTGGTTAGACATACGTAACACACATACATCATCAATAAATCAGAAAAAAAATTGATTGATTTTATTTTCAAATAATAAACAGTTTGTTTACAATCACAATTATTATTTTCATTGTACACTTGGTTCTCTAAAAAATAATATTAATATTAATAATAATAATAATAATAACAGTATTAAAGGGATTTGTAAAAAAAAAAACACATGCTCTATAAAACAGGAAGAAGAGAACAGACAGAAAACAAGAACAAGACACGCAAAGATGTTCTAGAAATTCAAACCTTTGCTCTTGTTTCATCGTTGAAAAAAAAATCCGTTTTTTTTGCACATACTACTCAATACTTAACCATTTTTTTGCGTGTATTTTTTAAAATTTAGAGATATATTTATATATTTATTTCGCGGTTTACAATAAAAAAAATACAGTGCAATTCAAAACGTTTGTTTGAATGATTGCGTTGTTGTGCAATTTACAATGTTGATCAATGTTCAATAATGATGTAGTTTTTCTTTTCGAACCAATCCATTAACATACTACTACTACTACTACTACTTATACTACTACTTAATCATGATAAACAAATATAGATGATGATAATTTGAATTCGTACATTCAAACAAAAAATACATATATATACATATACAAAAGAAATATGGAAAATTTGATTGAATCATTCATTCAATGAATTCATTGTTCAATTGTCAATTTTCAAATTGTTATGTAGTCTCTATTGATCATTATTGTATCCAAATAGAAAAAAAAAGGAAAGTTACAAATAAGGAAGAAAAATGGGGGAAAAGCCCTGGACATTACAGTACAATGAATAAATAATCAAATAATAGTTATCTTATTCATTGTGAAAATTGATTGATTGATTGCACACGAAAAGCGAACGAAAAAACAAAACAAGAAACTTGATCAATGATCAATTATTTTAAGTTATTATTACTTTTTTCGTTGATAAAAAAATATTTATGTATATATGTATATATAGAGAGAGACAGAGATAGGAAATTCAATGTTTGTCATTTATTAATTATTAAAAGAAGAGAGAGAGGAAATTTTAATCGTCAAGTGGATATTTTGCAATTTCTTCACGAATTTCATCTAATGTATAATCTTTTAATAGGATACCATTTTTAAATACTGGAATTAGTAGATCCTATAGAAAACAGAGTGAGAGAGAGAGAGTGGGAAAAATAATTATTAGAGTGGGAGAGAGTCAATGTTGAATACAATTGAACATTGAATTTTTAAAAAAAAACAGTGTAAACTTGTTGGGGATGTTAGATCCCCGAAACTCGCTTGTTAAATGCCTTATTTTGGATTTCATGTTTGCCAGCATGGGCTGATCAGTTGACCTTGAGATTACACATTTCCCACCAGGAAAATCCATGGTTGTGATTGGTTGCTGTGTATTTTAGTGCGCTAATTTTGTGACTGTACCAAGGACGTTTGTATGATGTATAAATAAACGAGAGTTGATGTTTGATTGTGTGATTGCTGGGTGTTTGTAGAAATATACTTTCTACGCTTACAAAGCCTTTTATCTTCAGCTTGGGATTCAATGTAGCCTATCTGGACGCTGGTAATTGTCTCGTTCGCATTTATCGACTAAGGTGAACTCGTAATAGCTTCAAGCGTACCTAGTGACGAACATTATAAAACTGTATGAACTCCGACCGTAGCAGTTACCTTAACGTGGTGGTCGGGCTTACCTGTCGTCATGACCTAGCCGTGCTATATTGGATGAAACATATGTACTTGTAAGTCCTACCATGCCAGGCAGGTCGATTGGAGAACGATGAGAGTAAAAGCAGCTACTCAAGGTCTGACGGAGAAGTTGTACTGCTGACTTTAGAGAAGTGTGACAGCAGTAAGGTGTTTCCCTCCGACAACCAGCATCTGCAGCGATGCTTCTTTTTCACAAGAAAGGAAGGGGTCAGAAAATGTCGACCCTAAAAATGTCATACCTCACCTTACCTCACATATTTCCATCTCCGGCGGTAAGGGCAGCTCACTAAGGGCCTTCAAGAGCGGAGCTATCACTCAAAAAACCTTCATCAAAAGGCCGTGCGTGACCAGCCTCAAGCAGTTGTCCCTTGGGCTCTGTGGTCACGCTCCCAGGTCGCTAAGACCAACACTAATCTATCTTCCTTTTCAGGTCCCTGAAGAAACAAACTTCCAGGGTGTGGGCAGCCGGGAAGTGACAACCGCCCTCATACCCATAAAAGTACACCAGACTGATGATGATGATGAAACTGTATGAACGCAACAGTACTATCATCGTCGTCAAATGCTTCTCAGTACGTGATGGTTTAACATTGAAAATATTAAAAACCAATCAAGGTAATTTATGCACTGAGTCACATAATCACATAATGAAATAGAGATTACGTAACTACACCTCGCTCGAATAGTTGATAGTAGTAGGAAGACAGGTGGTGTACTGTTAGTAGTTAGTGGTAAGAATAATAAAATAAAATAAAATATGATAACTGAAGGTTTCGGTCAATAGTTCAACATTTGAAACAGCAGTAGGTCAAATCTAGATAAACTGACTTGTAATAATCAGCATTAAACATTATAACTATTACGTAATGAGGAGTGTGTGAATAGTGAAAATTGTAAATTGCAAACAAAAACACAGAGTTCGACTCCGTCGCCTACATGCATAGCAGAACCCATAGCAGATTCGTACATTCAACTCCAATTTATGTATTCACAAGAAATAAGTCGTCATAGGCCTATCTCTTCCATGGCCGGATATGACTTGGACCAACGTTTAAAAAGAAAGTTTTTTAAAGTTTTATTTTGTTATTATTATTATTATTAGCATTATTTTCACACCCAGTATTTGTTGGTAATTTACTGCCCTCTTCCCGTTTAATGCTGTTGACTATCTAATTGTGAAAATTAGAACAACACAGATATAAGCGAACAATAATGTTGTTGTTTTCGATTAGATCGTCATCAGGCTACTTTACTCTCTCTAATATACATGAATATTTACATGAAAATGTTAAACCAATCAAGGCAATTAATGAGTCAATAATCACAATGAAATGAAAAAGATTACGTAACTACATACAATAGGCAAAAGTTCAAGTGGATAGTAGGAAGACGACGGGTGTACTGATAGTAGTAAGAAAATTATAAAATATGATAACTAAAGTTTTCTCCAATAGTAGGTCAAAGGTGGATGAATAGACATCAAATAAACATTAAAAACATCAAAACCATGACGTAATAAGCAAATATGTAAAAATAAAAAATATATAATGTCCATCGATAGTTACGTCATATTCGGCCACGGAAGAGATAGGGGTTTCACGAATTTCTTCTGAACACATAAATTGGGGCTGAATGTACGAATTCCTATGGCTTCTGCTATATGTAGGATACGGGATCGAACTACATTGGGAAACGATTGAGGTATACGAAAGATCACTCGAAAAGATCTAGATTTATCTACAATAAGACCACTATCTACCAGGTGTGCTAAGATAGAACTGCGTATTGTTTTTGACTGACCCTTCGTAAACCATGCTGGGAGATGTTCACTCATCCGTTGGTTAAGTTGCCTGGTTGTATGCCCGATACAGCTATACTCACAGGAGCAGCTGAATTTATAACTGTGTATAGAGGAAGCCAACTCAGGTCACTTATCCTTCTTTGGATAGACGTTGCTGGTCGAGTTGAGAAGGACAACGCAAGTTTGGCTCCATTGAATGTTCTACTAATTGCTCTCATTAATTTGTACTGCAGTGTCGCAGTGCTTCTTTCGGACGGTCGAAATTACTGACTTCTTATTTACATCAACCATATACTTCCTTATCAATGCGCTAGGGTTGTTGTTGATAAATTGCAGCTCCTGACTTAAAGTATCCATAGAACAGAACATTTTTGCTCTGTTAGTGAGGCATCTAACCAAATTTCTTTTGTAGCGGATAGGTGTAAAACTACAAAAGTGAGTGTATTGGCAAGCACTGAGGTTTTTTCTACTTAGCGAATCATCACTTCGTCTACTTAGTGTGACATCAAAGAAGGTCAGCTTTTTATCGTACTCCTCTTCACCAGTGAAACTGATTGCCGGGCGTACACTGTTGCATTGTTCAAGGATTTTTTTCTTTGCTGATGTTTTGGTTTGCAATGATGAATGTGTCATCGATGTACCGACAATATAGATCAAGATTCTTAACAGCTTCTTTAAGTGGTCCATTTTCTAGCTTTACTAGGAAGAGATCCGCTAGAATTGGGCCTTGAAGTGAACCCATGGCCTATACCGTCTATTTATCTATAGTAAGTGATGTTGAATACAAATTGTGTACACACTTCTTATTACGTAATGGTTTAAGTGTTTTGTAATGATTATTTTAAGTCTATTTATCCACGAGGTTTGACCTACTATTGACAAAAAACTTTAGTTATCATATTTTATAATTTTCTTACTACTATCAGTACACCTTTGTCTTCTTACTATCCACTTGAAATTTTG